CTGCAGCCACTCCTTGACCTCCGACCTGCAGCCACTCCTTGACCTCAGACCTGCAGCCACTCCTTGACCTCAGACCTCCAGCCACGCCTTGATCTCAGACCTCCAGCCACACCTTGACCTCAGACCTCCAGCCACTCCTTGACCTCCGACCTCCGGCCACACCTTGACCTCCGACCTCCGGCCACGCCTTGACCTCAGACCTCCGGCCACGCCTTGATCTCAGACCTCCGGCCACGCCTTGATCTCAGACCTCCAGCCATGCCGTGATCTCAGACTTCCAGCCTCATGACTGTGAGAGAACAAATGTCTGTTGCTAAGGCTGCCCAGACTGTGGTGTTTCATTATGGCAGCCTGAACAGACTAAGAGGCTCCCCTTTAAGAAGTCACTCAAGAGCCACAAAATACAAAAAGGGAGCATATTTGAAAAAGTCTGTGCTGTCACCAAAGAAAACTTACCACAGAGCTCAGAGGTGTCATATGCTTAACAATATGCACTCTCGCTATCCCCAGCAGAGTAATCAGGGATATGTGAGAAGGAGACTGGATAAATGACTGTCATCAGTATTAATTTTACATAATCAAACTGGTGAAGCATGAGGGAGGAGATGGAAAAAAAAAGCGCTGTGGGTTGCACTGTATCTCGCACGGAGGTATGAGCGAGTCCTAACCCCTGGTACTTGTGAATGGGACCTCACTTGGAAATAGGGTCTTTGCAGAGGTCATTAGTTAAGGTTAGATGAGATCTTCCCAGAGTAGGGTGGGTCTTTAATTCAATGACAGGTGTGCTTATAAGAGGAGACACGGACACAGAGAAGCCACGTGAAGACGGAGGCAGAGACTGAGTGATGCAGCCACAAGCCCAGGGACACCTGGAGCCACCAGGAGCTGGAAGAGGCAGGAAGGATCCTCCCCTGGAGCCTCCGGAGGGGCACAGCCCTGCCACACCTGGACCTCACACTTCTGCGTACAGAATTAGGAGAGGATACATTCCTGTTGTTTTAAGCCCCTTTGTCTGCTACTTTGTTACAGCAGCCTGGGCTCTCCTGGAACATTCTTATGAACATTCACAAGGCTCACCCACCTGCCCTGAAGGTCATCCATGTTCAGTTCTCCAACGTAATGGGTGGCCGAGGAGACGGTGACCACCCTTGCACTGCGGCCAGGGCATCCTGACTCTTTCAGGGTGTCCAGGAGGAGGTTGGTCAGGAGGAAGTGCCCCAGGTAGTTCAGGCCAAAATGTTCTTCAAATCCATCCCTGGTTTTCCTCTGAGGGACCATCATCACCCCAGCTGGGGAAAAAAGAATTTCAGGGAGTGTTAGTTCCAGAAAGATGGCAGAGAAGTCTCACGTGGATTCCAGCAGTGTGGAAAGAGCCCTGGATGCCCGGAGGGGTGGGTCTGGTCCTGGCAGCCTTCTTACCTTTCTGGGGCTAGGTTTCTTGCTTGGCATGTGGAGGGGAGGTGCTAGGAGATCAGGAGGGTCTGTTCCTGCTTTGCACTTGTAAAATGACAGCAACAGTGACGTCCCAGCACATACAACAAAGTGAGAGTATCCTAAGCCACTACAAGGTGTTTCCCCAGGAAAGTTAATTCTCCTGGGCAGGAAGAGCTGTCCAGGGTGTGGGCATGATACACATTCCTTTACAGAGTATCTGCTCTGGGTCAAATGTGTTCCCTAAATAGTTCATGTGTTGGAAACTCGATTCCCACTGTAACAGTATTAAGAGGGTGGGAAATCCTATTGTGGTATCTGAAAGGTGGAGCCTTGAAGAGGTGATTGGATCATGAGGACTGCATCCTGGTGAATAGATTGATCCATTCATGGGGTCATGGGCGTGGTTCTGATGGCTTTATAAGGACAGTGAGTGAGCAGGTCAGCTGTCTCTTGCTCAACCTGTTCTCACCATGTGACACCCTGCATTGCTGTAGATTTACCGCCAAATAAAAGGCTTTCACCAGATGTGTTCCCCGCACTGTGGACTCCCTCACCTCCAAAATGTAATAAATTTCACTTCTTTATAAATGACCGAGTTTCAGGTATTCTACTTTAAGCAACAGAAATGCACTAATACAGTATCCCACAAACAAATTCCTCAGACATCCTTTGGGAAATGGCTCCATGCTTTGTACCTCCTGGTCTCAGAGTACCTCCACCCAGACAGGCAGAAAACAGCTAAACCCCTGCCCCTATATGCTTTCCACAGGAGCCTGACCTCAAAGGCTCCTTGTCCAAGAAACACAGCTGGCCCACAGGGTCTCCCATGTAGAGCAGGCCAGCTTGCTTGCACAAACATGCATATGTGTATGCATTTGTATGCAAAAGGGTATGTATGTATGTATGTGTGAGTTAAGTATGCACATGGAATCTTGTATGCATTTGCATGTACATTTTACATGTTCCTGCATAAGTACCTGTAGATATATATTCACATATATTTATAGGTGTATATGCATTTGTGTACGTGTTTATACAAGTATACACTTACTTATGTATTTGCATATATGTAAACACACATGCATTCAAACACATACACCTGTACATTTTTGCATGTATATATGCAGGGTTCACATATGTATTTACATACATATATGTATTTGTAAATGTCTATGAATATATATGTGTGTTTGCTTGTGTATCTATATTGCATGTACACATGCCTGCAAATTTGCATGTATACATGTATGTTCACTTGTATATGCACATGCATGTGTGTGTAGCATATGCATATATTATGTCCATGTTTTTGTTTGTAAGAGCACAAATATTTGCCTATGTTTAGACATCTATGTGTGCATAGTATCTACAGTTAATTTATCCATCTGAATGTCTTTATATGTATTGCATGCATAGACATGCAATTTGACTAGTATATGCATTCCTGTATGTTTTCATATATGTGCATATGTTTGCAAACACATTTTCATATGTGTATGATTTATATACTCATATACACACCTATGTGCATGTCCTAGACACCTCCTAAGCTAACACAACTAATTTGAACAATATTTATTAAATGCCTAATATGTGCTAAGGGAAGATTTCTTATTGTTAACCAATAAACTGCACTTGCATTTTTTAAATGGGTAAAGGGACACTGTTGTCACATCAGTGCTTTGGATTGCTATCCCACATGATAAATATGGGATAACATTCTACGAGATGTTAACATCTGTCTTATGTGAAGAGAGAGAGAGAGAAAGAAAGGAGAGCAGCATTTGGAGTTGGAAAACCACTCAATACCTCCTAGGTGCTTAGGAGGGGCCATGGGAAGAATGGATCCTCTCCAAGGAGGTGATGGAGTTGATATCCCAACATCTTACACCCAGCCTCACCTTCTGGCAGGAAACAACCTGCCATGAAATGATAGCATATCACATCAAATGGCACTGCAAACTCTGGGCACTAAAAGAACATCTAAGTACCTTCTGTTTAAAAGAGGCACCGAGAGAGGCAGGGGGGCCCATTACAGAACAGAAAGCTATTCTATCCACAGGACAGAAACACTGAAAAAGAATCAAATGGACGGCACTGGTGATAAGGGGTCTACACATATGCAGATCCCAAAACGCACTGACAAATGCATGGACAGCGATTCATCCCGTTCCATATTTCAAGGAGGCAGACCGGATGACTGCAGATCCCATTGTACACAGACAACATCAATTGCAAAATGAGAAATATGATGCTGCAAAACTCCATCCCTGGCCTTCTCCTGAAAGGACCTTCCTTAACAGGCATGGGTCGCCTTGGTGCACTGTGCCAGATAACCCTCCTGGTTATCACCTGGACAAGAAGCATTTGTCGTGCCAGTTTATTAATTAATGATGGGGAAGAACTGTACCAAAAACTAGAGTCAGCGTGAAAGCATCATTTTTATTTCTCCGGGTTACTATTGAAAGACATTTTTTTTTTTCAGTAGGAAAAATAATTTTTAGTGACTGCTTTATCTTAGGAAATTCATCCACTAGAGTTATGGAGAAAAGTCTGACGAGAGTAAAACATAAATCCTGTGCAGCTATTAAAAATCTATCAATTTTCAGACATGAGAATGGGGAGCTAGATAAATAAAATTATGATGTGAATAAACTATAAATACTCTGCCGGCTCTCCAGGAGGTCTTCTATTGATTATTCTTGCTGTTGATAAATTATCTGGTTAACTCAGGAGTTTCCCACGACAGCCAGAAAGAGGCGGTCTGGTTCTATTTTTGACACACTAGCAAATGAAAAAATATTTTATGTCTGAAGTATTTAATACTTGGAAAACCTTGATTGCTCTCTTTAGGAATAAAACAAGCAAAGAGAAGCACAAAGTCTAGCTTCCCCTGAGACTTGGAGGTCACCTTCGTGGAGCCCTCCTGGGGCTGTTTTCCATGACACCTGGGAAAACAAGCATGTGATTGGTTAATAGATGTCTGGGAGGGACGGTCCTGGGAAAATAGTTTTGGGAAACTCGGCAGACCCTCTATGACAGTCATGAACACTAAAAATACCACTGCTAGGGTCCTTCCCTGAGTCCCCCTGTAGTTAGGAAATCTGTCTCTGTTCATGCCAAGACCTCCCAAACACACTTGCACTCTGATTTGCACACAACAGGGATGCATCCATGTGCAAAAACCAAGGCATTCCTCAAATAAGAAAATCCTCTACTTTTTCTTCATCAAGATCGGTCTTCCCAAGCCACAACACACTGGGCTGGTGATCAATCCATTCTGTCTTTACTGCACCCTCCTGGTTATCACCTGGACAAGAAGCATTTGTCGTACCACTTCTGGGTACCACAGAAAGCCCCTTCCCAAGCCATGGGTTTCCTGGAGTTCCACCATTCTGGGGCATCTCCAAGGAAACCAAGAGACTCTTCTAAGGAGGGGCCCCTTTTCTGCCTTTCTGGGTGTATCTATCAGGCCGCCCTCCAGCCTGGGGCACTGTGGGGAGTGTGCAATGGGTGTCTACTATAGGCACAGACATAGCCCCCAGCCCTGCGCACATCTCCTTTCCTTGAAGTTTCTGCCTGAACCCATAGAAGCTGTTACTTCCAGGTCCTTTGCAAGTAGGCTCCTGCCCACAGTGACCCCAGGGGACATGCGTGGCATGGTTGTTCTGAATCAGTCACTTAAAGTCTGCATGGAGACAGGGGCAGCCACAGCCCGGCCAACCTCTTGAAAGATGGAGAATGAAAACATAAGAAGGGAAAGGCTCAATGTGCTATTTCAGTAGATCGTCCTCTAACAAGTGGACTTGTATGACCATCCTCTGGGAATGGTGTTCTGAGGGGCACAGGTGGAGAAATTCTAGAGATGTCAGACTATGGTGCGATCTTCTGTACATTCTACACAACGGTGTTGTCTCATTGCACGCTGCATTTTCTAGGGCAGGAGATTGCATAGAATAATTATTCATCGAATGTTTGTCTCTTTCAATGGGGGATGATTTTCATAAGGCCACAGATGTTTGTTTATCATTGTATTTTTCCTGCCTGTGAATTATATAAAGCACAGAGTAGGTAGGTGCAGTAGGTTGAGTAATGCCTCCCAAAAACGTCCACGTCCTAATCCCCATGTGGTAGACAGAATAATGGTCTCCACAGATGTGCACATCTTAATCCCTGAGGTGTAGACAGAATAATATCCCCCAATGACATCCACATCCTAATTCCCATATGGTAAACAGAGTAATGGCCCCAAAGATGTCCACATCTTAATTCCTACGGGGTAGACAAAATAATATCTCTCAAGATGTCCATGTCCTAATCTTGCGTGGTAGACAGAATAATGCCCCAAAGATGTCCACGTCCTAATCCCCATGTGGCAAATAGAGTAACTGCCCCCAAAGATGTCCATGTGCTAATCCCCATGTGGTAGGCAGAATAATGGCCCCCAAAGGTGTCCACATCCTAATTCCTATGGGGTAGGCAGAATAATGCCCCAAAGATGTCCATGTCCTAATACCCATGAGGTAGACAGAATAATGGCCCAAAGATGTCCACGTCCTAATCCCCATGTGGTAGATAGAATAATGCTCCAAAGATGTCCACGTCCTAATCCCCATGTGGCAAACAGAATAATGCCCCAAAGATGTCCACGTCCTAATCCCCATGTGGCAGACAGAATAATGCCCCAAAGATGTCCACGTCCTAATCCCCATGTGGTAGACAGAATAATGCCCCAAAGATGTCCACGTCCTAATCCCCATGTGGTAGACAAAATAATGTACACAAGAATGTCCACATTCTTATCTCCATGTGGTAGACAGAATAATGCCCCAAAGATGTCCATGTCCTAATCCCCATGTGGTAGACAGAATAATGCCCCAAAGATGTCCACATCCTAAGTGGTAGACAGAATAATGCCCCAAAGATGTCCACGTCCTAAGTGGTAGACAGAATAATGCCCCAAAGATGTCCACGTCCTAATACCCATGAGGTAGACAGAATAATGCCCCAAAGATGTCCATATCCTAATCCCCATGTGATAGACAGAATAATGTACACAGAAATGTCCGCATTCTTATCTCCATGTGGTAGACAGAATAATAGCCCCCAAAGGTGTCCACATCCTAATCTCCATGTGGCAAACAGAGTAACTGCCCCAAAGATGTCCATGTCCTAATCCCCATGTGGTAGACAGAATAATGCCCCAAACATGTCCAAGTCCTAATCCCCATGTGGTAGACAGAATAATGCCCCAAACATGTCCACGTCCTAATCCCCATGTGGTAGACAGAATAATGCCCCAAAGATGTCCTCGTCCTACTCCCCATGTGGTAGACAGAATAATGCCCCAAAGATGTCCTCGTCCTACTCCCCATGTGGTAGACAGAATAATGCCCCAAATATGTCCACGTCCTAATCCCCATGTGATAGACAGAATAATGTACACAAAATGTCCACATTCTTATCTCCATGTGGTAGACAGAATAATGGCCCCCAAATGTGTCCACATCCTAATCTCCATGTGGCAAACAGAGTAACTGCCCCAAAGATGTCCATGTCCTAATACCCATGTGGTAGGCAGAATAATGGCCCCCAAAGGTGTCCACATCCTAATTCCTATGGGGTAGGCAGAATAATGCCCCAAAGATGTCCATGTCCTAATCCCCATGTGGTAGACAGAATAATGTGACCAAAGATGTCCAGGTCCTAACCTCCATGTGGTAGACAGAATAATGGCCCCAAAGATATTCATGCCCTAATCTCCAGAACCTGTAAATAAGTGACCTTACATGGCAAAAGGGGACTCCACAGGTGTGATTAAGTCAGGGTTCCTGAGGTGGGTACATCATTCTGAATTATGCAGGTGGGTCGAGTGTAATCACCATGGTCCTTATAAGACGGAGGCAGGAGGGTCAGAGTCAGAGAAGGAGACAGGAAGACAGAGCAAAGAAGAGAGAGAGACATTTGAAGATGGTATCTTGCTGGCTTTGAGAATGGAAAAAAGCACATGAGTCTAGGAAGGCAGACAGTCTCTAGAAACTGGGAGAGGTAACCTGCATCTGCCAAGGGCTGAGGAATTCCACACTGCACATGCTGGATTGAGGTGCCTTTGAGACACTGAGCAAAGATCAAAGGTCTGAGCACAGAAGAAACATCTGAATGAGTAAGTTTGGGAAGAAGTGAAGCCAAGATGTGGATGAAAGAAGAAAGAGGGAGTGAAAAGTGGGTCTATCAACAAGACTCTTTAGATCTGAATTCAACTTTGTCCTGGTCTCCAGAGTAATTTTATCTTTCTGAAAGCCACAAGTGCTTCGTGCGCAATCTGCCGAGAAAAAGCAAATTGGTGCATTTTAGGAACATCACAGCCATCTCAAAAGTTACAAGTGGAGAGTGAATTACATAGTATACACCAATCATGCTGCTTCTCTTGGTTGCACCATAGAGCTGCATCTACTCCAGCAAATGGGTTTATACACATATTTCTCAACAAAATACTGCTATCAAAGACATCAGATTTGAGATTCATACTTTTTTTTTTACTTCCTGTACCAATAGGATGACAGAAGGCTGCAGAAAAGTCCCTAAGATGAAATAGAGTTCTGTTTTGTACATCTCTGCAAATGAGGGCAAAATGCCACTTTGCCTTGCCATTTCCAAATCGCTCTATGATGTAGCACTCCAATTACCAATTACAAAGAATGTTAAATGAAATGAAGAGATAAGATGTATGGTTGGGCAGGATCTCCACAGTAACTCTAGCTCATCTCTATGTTTGGTGATTTATGATATTATAATTCCAGTCACTTATCATACTGATGGATGATCAGCAAAGAAAGCGCATATCTAGTGCTGAGAAACAAAAATACCACATGGCCATTTACTGGGAAATTACTTATTTTTGCATGCAAATTTAAGGAATAACCATTGTGGGAAACTCAAAAAATATTAACGAAGCTCCATAAAGAAGACATAAACATTAAAATCATTCTCAAACTTCCATCAAGAGCCACCAGCATTAATAACATGTTATGTTTCTTCCCAGGCTTAGTACATGAAAGTGGTGCTATCTATAGCTATTCAGGCAGCACCTGCATGTCACAGTGATGTTTGTACACATGTATAGACATAAGTATATAGTTGGAGTAACACCCTATGTAGAATTTTATATCTCCTGTCTTTCCTTTAAAGTATATTATGAGAATTCCCAGTTAAACAAGTAAATTGAACAGAAACATGTACATCTGACATGCTTCCTGCCTGCCAACCCCATTAATAATAGAGAAAAAGATAAAAACAAAACAAAACAAAATGAAAACATTAAAATGGAAAGAAAAGAGAAAAAAATGATAGCCATCACATCTTAGGAGCTAGAATCAGATGGAAAAGGGTTATAGCCTTAGTAGGAAGAATGATGCTCCCTCTCTCCTTGCAGATTTGTCCATGTCCTCATCCCAAGAATTTGTAAATATTGTACCTTAGATAGCAAACACGATTTTGCTGGAAGTGAGATTTTGAGATGGATCTTGAGATGGAAAAATTACCCCGAATTATCTAGGTGTGTGACTGAGTATTAACAAGAGTCCTATAGAAATTTATTCTCTGCCATCTAAAGTATGAATAATTTGACATATGTTTAATGTACTTGAAAGGAAGATGCAGGCTCGTTGCCCTCAGTGTTTGATATATTTCTATTCTGTCCACTGTGCTAAGTTTAGTATTTATTTCCACTATATTTCCATTTCATCTCCAAGTCTGAAAGGGATATGTTCGGTCTACTAGCACAAATATATTTTGGTATATTTATTATAGCTTCCGCTCTATATATTTATACCTCCTCCCTGGAGAGGGTCCAAACTAAATTTTAGATACAAAAACAAACAAACAAACCACTTGACTGTAGCAGTAGAAGAAAGTAGTAAGGAGGGGAATAAACATGAGCACCGCACTGAGGAAGCATAAGTGTTTTCAATGCCCTTAAAAGCTCAGCATGGCTGAAGAAAGGGCTCAGGTTCAAGAGAGCTTTGTGTTGAAGATGGATTGGTGGGGAAGGGTAGATGGTGACCCCACACATCTGGTTGAGGGTGTTGGGTGGGGGAAGTCAAGAACCAATTGGTCATGGGAATCTGGAGCCCAAATAACAATGATTCTCATGGGGGTGTGGTAAGGCTCTAATAACATTATATTTGTGAAAATGTCCAACATTTCATGTGTTCCTAATACACCTTAGCCCAAGTCAACTAGGCAAAGTGTCAACTCCACACAATGTGTTATCATGCTTAATGTTATTTCAAATTATATATTAAAATGGATTATACACATAACAAAAACCAACCACATCAATAAAATGAAGAAGGGAATACAAATAGCATAAATATTCATGAATTTCCATGGGAATCCTGCTTTGCTGAAGCACTTCTTCTGCATGCACACTAGAGTTCATTTTTGCATCAAAATTAACCTTTGGCTTGCAGCAATTTCACCAGAACTTACCATTATTGACCAGGACATGGAGAGGGATTTTCTTCATCCTGAACTTCTGAACAAACTGCCGGATGGACTTCATGGAAGCCAGATCACAATATAAAAACTCCACTGGAGAAAACAAAACAAAAACAGCTAGTTATGGTCCAACTTACCTCAGAAGCTAAACTAAATTCTAAACAGGTTGACTTCTATCCCACCTCAGAAGCAGCATTGAATTTGAAATTAATAAAGCACAATGAGGTGGACATACCCTAAGGAGACTTCAGTGAGTTACACTCTTGCATAGTGTCCTCCCCTTGGGTGTGGGTGGAACTTGGGATTGCTTCTAGTCAACAGAATACAGCAAAGATGGTGGAATGTCACACAGTGTCATCATGTCATATCAGATTCCCTCTTGCTAGCAGAAAGAGAGAGAGCAAGAGAGAGAGAGAGAGAGAGAGAGAGAGAGAGAGAGAGATTCTCCTATAGGCCTTGAAGAATTCAGCCAGCGTGTTGTGAGAGAGGCATGAGACAAGAACCTGGGGGTCACCTCAACAACCAGCAGGCATGTCAGAACCTCAGACCTATAACCTCAAGGAACTGGATTCTACCAACAACAACTGAGTTTGGAAGAGGATCCTGAGTTCCAGAGAGAAACTCAGACCACGTGATGCTTTGGTTGCAACCTAGTGAGACCCTGAGCAGAAGATTCAGCCCCACTGTGCACAGATCCCCAGCCCACGGAATCTGTGAGGTAATAAATGTGAGCTATTCCAAACTGCTATGACTTGGTATTTTGTAAGGCAGCATACATAACGAACACACATAATGATGCAGAAACAAGGACTTCCTTCTTTTTCAGCAGAATAATCAAAGAACTTTAGAGTGTGAATGTCCCAGGGATAACTTTACAAAGTCAGATGGATAGAGAGGCAGCTGGTGTTTCAGATGGGCTGAAGTTTTGGACAGAGGTGGAGCAGAAAAAGACAAAAAAAAAAGCAAATTTGTGTGTATACTTATCATACCTCAAGGTCTCATGGTTGAAGGAATATGGAAGAAAAATATGACAACCAAAAATCAATCAGAACAAAATAAATTAAAACCAGCTACCACTTGAGAAGGTAGCAGGGACATCAGAGATCTCAGAGAACAGCCAAGTCCCATTACAGTGAGATGCAAAGGCAATGCCCGAGGGAAGTTGAAGGTACAGGGGATCCTGCTAAGGGCTCTCTCTGAGTTCTGAAGGGTGGGGGTGGGAAGGGTGTTGGGGTGGGTGGAAGGGCAGGTCACAGCAGGCGTGCAGAGGTGTGAGGCAGGTGCTCTCAGGAAGGAAGGAGCAGAAGCTGGCTCTGCGGTCACCACAGAGAGAAGAGCCTTAGCTCTTGAGGGCAGCTGAGGTGTCAGTGCCATTTACAGCCTCTTTTTTGGGTGGTCTCTTGGGAGAATAGGTGTTATTCTGATAGGACTGCTCTTATTTTTGGAAAGTTCATGTAACTTGTAGAGTCCTGGGTCTACCTTTCTCCGTACATTTGTGCAGATGGGTAACAGGCCGATCACCTATTTTATGACTTTTCAGCCTGACTTCATAAGCCATAAAAGCCTTACTTTCTTCTGTCTTGTGTCTGCCAAAATTATTGCCGAAGCACTGGTCATCCTTCCAGCACAGAAATGACTCTTCACACATCATGAGAGAAAGAGAAGACTTTCCTATTTCTTATGTCTAAGGGGAAGAGACGGAAATAATATCTAGATTCATCTGACACAACATTCCTTTCCAGCATGCATTATTCTGAATGACACAATATCAGGTAGCTGTGACAAATTCACGCAGCATTGTTTTCTTTCATTTTCCAGTACTGCAGCACAAACATGGGATACATGCACACACACACACACACACACACACACACACACACACACACACACACACACACACACACACACACACACACACACACACACACACACACACACACACACACACACCCCTCCAGGTCCTAATCCCTGGAATCTGTTAGTAGGCTACCTTACATGGAAACAGGGGCTTTGCAGGTGTGATTAAGGATCTTGAGATAGATTTTTCTGGATCATCCTAAATGTAATTGCAGGGGTTCTTACAAGACAGAGGTAGAGGGAGATTTGAGACAGACTCACAGAGAAGCCACGTGAAGACGGAGGCAGAGACTGGAGTGATGCGGCCACAAGCCCAGGACACCTGGAGCCACCAGTAGCTGGAAGAGGCAGGAAGGATCCTCCCCTGGAGCCTCTGGAGGGAGCACAGCCCTGCCACGCCTTGACCTCAGACCTCCTGCCACGCCTTGATCTCAGGCTTCCAGGCACGCCTTGATCTCCCGCTTCCAGCCACAGCTTGATCTCACACTTCCAGCCACAACTTGATCTTAGGCTTCCAGCCACACGTTGATCTCAGGTTTCCAGCCACACCTTGATCTCACACTTCCAGCCACACCTTGACCTCAGACTTCCAGCCACACCTTGATCTCAGACTTCCAGCCTCCAAGACTGTGTGCTGTTTAAGCCAAAGCCTGTGGTATTTTGTTAAGGCAGCCCAAGCTCACTAATCAATGATATCAGATGTAAACTAGGCAGATGGAAGGACATTTGCTGGAAGACTGTAGGTCCTATTTAATATCCCCAACCGCTGGAGTTTTCATGGTAGTTTAGAGGCTTAATATCTCCAGGAAGCAACATGGCAGCACAAGGAATCTGCTGGCTTGGACACTGGCAAGATCTGTGACCTGAGACAATCGACTCAGCCTTCCTGACTCCCCATCGCTTCTTCTGTGGAGGGGAGAGATCAGCATTAACTTCATGGCACGGTGCCGTCATTCAAAGACAAAATTTATATGAATCATGGGTCCACAGAAAGTGCTTAATAAATGCTGGAGAAATACACCAGTCATTACATATTAGTCCTTCTTTGCTGGGATGGGCATGTTTTCATCAACCACCTTTCCAGAAGCTTTTAAAGAGTCTATGCAATCACAGATGCAACATTTGGCCTCATGGCTGTCTGGAGCTATTGTTCTGAATTCTGAATTCTGTTCTCTGTGTTGTCACAGCTGGCTTTTTTGAAGGATGGCTTCAGGTCTCCCAGCCCGGCTCTTGATAAGATGCTCTTCTCAACATCTGGAGTCTAAAAGCCGAAGAACAGACAGAAACGTGGCTCCTGCATCCCAAACACCAGCACCTACTGTACACACCTCTCAGGTGGAGCTGCAGCTATGAGGTTTTGTTGTTTTATGGTTGGACACTTCAAATATCATAACACCCAACAAGGAGCCAAAAGTGGTAGCTTGGGAGTGGTACATATTTTGGAACATGTGCTTTAACCTTCACTTGGGAGGGACATTTTAACATAATCTACCTTCCTCGGCTTCTTTGTTATGGAGAATGAAGCCTATGTGTGCCAAGTCATTGGCCATCAAAAACAAGACAGTGTGTATTTTCAATATTCTCCTTTAAGAAATACAATGAGGGGACGGGGACATTCCTGGATCAGTGACCCTCCAAGGCACTCACCTATAGTCAGGTGCTGTTCTGTGAACTGGGTATCACCATGAACTGCCTGCCACAAGATACGTTCAGAAATTGAGAATAAATGTTCAGAAATTTAAGAAAAAATCGACAGTGATTTTATGTTTGCTGAATCTAGTGATTTAAAAAGAGCAAGATTGGAAGCTTCTATTTTGAATGTTTTTTTTTAAATGCACTTTTCTGCTAATTCATTTCTACTGCATCTACAACAATATCAGTCTGCTACAGACGAGGGAAAAGGGAGTTTTGCTACAGACTAATTGGGAAGCACTGTTGTTGAGCACAGAGCCATCTGGAGTGGGATTCCCAACATACTGCTGTAATTGCCCCCCAAAACACTCATGGGGACGCAGGGCAAAGGAAATCCCACACTACTGCTATCAACTGGAACCAATAATAGAAGGACAATAGGAAACATGCCAGAGAAGAAATAGGCATGAGGCTTTACCCACCTTGGGCAGGGGCACCAGGACTGACCACCCGCAGGACACGGGGAATCACACCTGCTGGGGGTTCCGGGCTGCATCTCTCCCTGAGGGTGCAGCGAGAGGGGCCAGGGTGACTAACACAGCAGGGTTCCTGAGGAGGAAGATGTTTTCATTCTACCTGCAGTGCCCACCATGACACCCTCATGTCTATTGGAGTAATTTAGAAAAATAGAAGTTGCTACGTTTTGAGAGCAGTTGGCCCTCTGTATCTGTGGGTTCAACCAACCGTGGGCCAAAAATATTCAAGAAGAAATACTGCAACTGCAATGAACATGTACAGACATATTTTTCTTGTTTTTATTCCTTCATGACTATTGACATTGTACCAGGCATTATAAATAATCTAAAGATGATTTCAAAAATACAGGAGGATTGCAAAGGTTATATGCAAATACTGCACTATTTTATATCACAGACTTGAACATCTTTGGATTTTGGTGTCCAAGGGAGGTCCTGGAACAAATCCCCCATGGATACCATGGGATGACTGTATTCAATGTACCCCAAGAGGACATGAAATAAGATGTCTGCCGTGTAGGTCACCGTGAAAGATGAAGTGTACCAGTTGTCCACACAGCAAAAACAGGAGACACAGGAACCAATGAGGGGACGCAGCTTGAGACAGGAGTGTGCTCAGAGTTGCTGGTCAGGATACAAAATTAAAATGGCAGCTGCCTACTGGAAGACGACGCTCAGAGTGGAAGAAAAGTAGACTTCTTATGAATCTTGATTGTGGACATGGAGTACTTAAAAGTGGGAATTAAAATTTCATACAACAGTCATCAGCCAAGCAAGCAGAGTAGGTGTGGCCCTGCTGACAAAAGACAGCAGTCATTCAAGTCTACCACGTGAATGTGACAATCAGAATCATTACCTATTGACCAAAGGATCCATTGCTCTGAAGCTATGATAATTATACCATTCCCCAAAGCATTCTTTCCAGAATAAAACTATATCGAGCTAGGAATTTCTCACAAAATTTTAGGTAGGCACGGAGAAATGAAAAGCACCAAAACTGTTGTGTGAGAATGGAAGATTCATCTCTGAGCACTGGACAGATCAACAGACAAAAATAATAATAATAAT